AGAGACACAAATACACACCTACATATATATGGTACTTAAAATTGTGTGAATCCTGTGGCACTTACCCCCGACAAGAATAGCAAGAATGTTTAAGAATAAATCTGAAAAATGTTGGAAATGTCATCAGATACCGGGTTCATATTACCATATGTGGTAGACGTGTGCAGAAGCAAAAAGATATTGGACTAAAATTCATACATGGTTGGAAAAAAATGACAAAAAAACATACAGACTTTAAACCAGAGATAGTTTTATTTGGATCTTACCGGAAACATACAGTAGGGAATTGAAACATTAGATTGTAAATGTATTAACAGCAGCTAGAATTGTATTTGCTAAAAATTGGAAAAAATGAGAAAACCAATGCAGAAGGAAGCTATTAAAAAATAATTGAATCTGCCGAAATGAGTAAATTGACATTCAAAATTAGAGAACAAGAAGATGAACAATTTTATAAGATATGGGATTTATTTTATCAATGGTTAAACAAAAAAATATGGTAATGAATATGTTAGAAAATTTTATAATACAAGGATAATAGAATTATACAGAACATAATATAAAATGTACTACTATTGGATGGACTTAGGATGATGTAATGAATTGTTATAATATAAATTAACTTAAAATTTTGAATATTGTGCTGTTCTAGCCAGTCTATGGGAATTGGTTAGTTACTAAGGAATTGTGAGCTGTGCCCTTAAGAAACGTAGTTGAAGGTATCCTGGGAAATGTAGTTTATGTCACATGGCTACATCTGTAATCCTGATTGGTCACTAAAATGACCCTCGAGGGGTCAAGGGAGGTTTTCTCCATTCTTGCCTGCACTCATGGACTTATAACAGCTTTCTTTCTATCGCTACGTGATGGGTTAGGAAAATAACCATTTTTAACCTGCAATGCTGATATACAAAGGATTGGTCATTATAGAAGAGCTTCGTCACAGGTGTGAGTTATGAAGATACCTGATGTACCAATAAATGTACTTCGTTACGGATGTTTTGTGGAATTACCGTGTTTCTTACATAATAAGGCCGGGCCTTATTTTTTTTTGAGCCCCGAAAAAACGGCTAGGCCGTCTTTTCGGGGGTGACTTAATTCCCCCCCTTGCATCCTTGCCACCAGCCGCTCCTAACGGGTGATCATGGCGAAGCGCAGAGAGGTCCCTACTCCCACCTTTGCTGCAGACACCTTTGGCACCCGCCACTGTTGCTTTCCCTTCTGCCCATTCTGCCGCCACGTTTGGAGCTGCTGCTTCCGTGTTTGGAGTGCTGCCACCATTTGGAGCTCCAAACAGCGGCGGTGCTCCAAACACGGCGGCAGCGATCTTTTTATTTTGGTCTGCGCAAAGTTCAGAGCGAGCATGAGAGGGAGACTGCGATGCCTCCATCCGAGATGGCAACCTCACTAGTGGATCACAACGTGGCTGGCTGTCAATATCTACAAGGAATTATCTCCTGGCAGAAACACGAAGCCGGTTGTTAAAGAGCCGAAAGCAGCAAGGGCGCCAGGTGGAAAGGACAGGGTCACGATCACATGGAGATGCCCAAAGCGCGGAGCGCACATAACTAAAGGTGGCGCACGCAGTTGGCTTGGGGACTACAAGGCAGCATCTGCGCCTCTTCCCGGGCGCGTCTCTAGTCTGCTTCCGGAGCTATGGGACACTCTCCATTGCCTACTGGCCCTTCTTCCTTGGGCTCCCTGCCGTGGGGTACACCCACTTCCTCCTGCAAATTATGCCTTGCAACTCTTCTCTCCCTTTCCTCTCGCTCCAAAAAGATTGCCATCGTTTCCCACCGATTCGGGCTTCCAGCCACGTTGTGATCCACTAGTGAGGTTGCCATCTTGGATGGAGGCATCGCAGTCTCCCTCTCTTGCTCGCTCTGAACTTCGCGCGGACCAAAATAAAAAGATCACCTGTCATCATGTTTAGAGCTGCTGTTTCCGCATTTGGAGCTGCCGCCCTGTTTGGAGCACCGCCGTCATGTTTGGAGCACCGCCGTCATGTTTGGAGCTGCCATTTCCGCATTTGGAGCACTGCCGCTGTTTGGAGCTCCAAATGGCGGCGGCACTCCAAACACAGAAGCAGCAGCTCCAAACGTGGCGGCGGAATGGGCAGAAGGGAAAGCAACAGCGGTGGATGCCAAAGGTCTTGGGTTTGCAGCAAAGGTGTTTGGTGGGAGTAGGGAGCTCTCCTTGCTTCGCAATGATCGCCCGTTAGGAGCGGCTGGTGACGAGGAATTGCTGCCCACGGGGCGTTCCTAACGGCAAGTCCCCCCGCCCTTCCCGCTTATTTTGCATGCGTTAAAATAGGTCTAAATTTGGGGGGAGGGGCTTAATTTGATTTTATGCCAAAAAAAAAATGCTGGGCCTTCCTATTGGTGGAGGCCTTATTGTTGGAGAAACACGGTATCTATCTGCATCTGCACAGCCACCAATCCACCTCTGTGCATGAGACAGAGCAGAAAAGTTAAAAAAAGAGGTCATTTTCCTAACCCATCACGTAGGGATAGAAAGAAAGCTGTTATCAGTCCATGAGTGCAGGTAAGAATGGAAACCTCCTTCAACTCGAGGGTCAATTTAGTGGCCAATCAGGATTACAGATGTGGCCACGTGACATGAACTACATTTCCCAGGATACCTTTAACTACATTTACCATGATGCATTCCCTTAAGGGGACAGCTCACAATTCCTTAGTAACTAACCAATTCCCATAGACTGGCTGGGACAGGACAAATATATAAATATGAACATTTGGAACATCATATAAAATGATGGAATAATAGTTTAGCCAAATAAATGATTAGCAATGATAATAATGTATACATATATAATAGATTGATAACATGAGAACTTATACAAACTGTGAGGACTATGGAGAGGATGCACAAGATTTGTAACCCACCGACACACTGTATGTAGATAACTGGAAGATGGTTTTATGTTTTGTGTATGTTTGTCTAAAAATAAAAAAAATAAATAAAAAAAATTCTGTGAATTCTTTGAAATTTTCAATGTTTTTGCATAAATATGAGCTCAACTATGATGATGCAAGTCCTAAAATTGGATAAAAAGAACCTAATTGAGCAAATAAATGATACTTGATCATTTATTCATTGAGGAAAATATTCCCAAACTACCTGTTTGTGGCAAAAGGGTGAATAACTCCTTCATAAATGTCACTGAGCTTCCACAATCTATAAGATCATGTCCCGGAGTTGGCTTGTGCAGCTTCATTGTCCAGAGATTAGAATTAAATTCTGGCTGAAATCCTGTTTTATTTGCACATGCCCAATAAACATTGTGTCTCCTTGCACTTGCTTGTAACTCACAGGAAAACAGTTTGAGAGGCCCTGCTTTAGAATTTAATCTGGTTCATTTTGCCTTCCAGTTAAATGTTAATCTTGTAAATTGATTAACTCAAACATAAAAAGGAGAAAGAGAAGAAATGGGGAGTTTTGTGCTAACCTTTACTGCTGCAGAAATAATATTAAGCAACGCAGCATTGTTGTTCCTTATTACAATACCATCATTTGTGCATGTTTCTTGCAATCAGTTGTTGAGAAAGAATGAATTCTGGGTGGAAGAGGAGTGGTATGTTGGCATACCACCAATATGAGCCACAAAAGACATTAACAATTCAAAAAGCCAGCTTTTTCTTCCTGTTTGTCCAGTATGCTTTAGATTTAGAGTTTTAGACCAGTTGTGGAGAAAATACCTAGATTAATGTCATATATAACATTGTGTTTACATGAGAAAATGCTGACCTGGACTCTGATCTAGGTTGCTTTTACGCTACTTTTGAGATTGTGCACACTGCGCGAACATATCTGATTACCGACCTGAAGGCAGCTAGCTGGAGGATCAAAACCAACCCGTCAAATTTTCATGCAGAATAAAGGCACTGTGAAGGTCATTTCCCTTCACTGAACTCATTAGAAATTCAGCTGTCCATTTGCATTCAACTGTTTTCATTTTAAATTCTAGTGCACAATATTGTGTTTAACGCGGTCCTAGCCTGCCTTCTATTTAAACGACAGGCGTTCTGAGGTTGGCTTTAGGTGCCACATGCCTTAAAATCCCAGATGTGCTCAGGGCCCGGCCAGCCAAGGAGCAACAAAGCCTTTCCCGTTGAAGAGACCCAGCCGTTAAGTTAACCCAGCCTCTCTGCCTGCCCTATAGGCTTCTTCGGCCGACCTCCAGCCCCGCTCTCCGGAGTGTTGAAGAGACGAATAGCTCCGCCTGTCCCAAACAAGCGCCTCTCCAAATCTCCCCCACCCCCAGCTACGGCGCTTTTTTTTTTAAACTTTTTTTTACGGCGTCGCCATGACTGGCTCCCGTTCGTTTTCGCTAATGAAGTTCGGGCTGAGCCCGCTCTCCGCCTCAGCCTCCCTGGCTGTGCTGGTTACGCTGGGAATGGCCGCGGCTTGGTACTGGCGAAGGAGGGACCGTCGAAGGCCGCTGCGGTTGAAGCAGGTGGGCACGGTCTCCGGGCTTTTCATCTACCCGATCAAGTCTTGCAGGGGCGTAGCCGTGCAGCAGGCCGAAGTAACGAAGTTGGGGCTCCGGGACGGAGATCTGCGCGACAGGTAGGGGTGCGGGGTCGGGGTGGGGATGGGGCACGAGGTAAATATGCCAAGAGTTGTCCAAGTCTGCCGTTTTGGCTGGGAAAGGAGCAGCTCTTACTGCCTAATGCAGCATTGTTTCCAGCAGGTTCCTGGCATTACCAATACTTGGTGTAGCTGCTCTGAATTTCGGATCACGTTTTCAGAACTGGCTGCATTAGGCAACACGTGAAGTCGCAACCCCTGGTTTAAAAACCTCGGAGGCTGAATTTTTAGTCAGGCATTAATCCAAAACCATCACGTTTGAAGTGACCCACATATTTTTCTCCTTTTCTTGGTGTGTGTTTGTGCATCAGTTATTGGTTCTTCCAGGCAGGGCTTTGATTTGTTGGGATAAAATTGGCAATTTTAGACAAGCCTTTTTTCTTGGTGACCTCTCTGTATTTTCCTGCCCCTTGTATTTCTTTGTTGTATTTACCAGGTAAACAAAAACCAATTAAAACGAATCTTCAAACTTTGTATACTGCGATTTCCTAAAATGGTACATGAATTTTTGCAACACCGCCAAACCACCACCACCACCACCACTCCTGCGCAAATCAAACCAATGATTTCAATGGGGATATGGTTGCTAAGCAAGAAAAAAATGAGATGATTGCATTTTAAGATTGAAGTTTACTATAATGTTTGTGACACTAATCCAAGTTATTACTTTATTTTGGCAAGGCTGAAGCTGGTTTGCATAGGTAAAGTGAGAACATGTTTTGACAGCACTTCCAGCTTGTGTGCACAAGCACCGCTACTTGAAAATAAACCCACTCCGGAGGCCATTATGACTGATTGTTTGAAATGCCTTTCAATTGTTTTAAAAGTGGCTTGGAAGAACTTTAAAAATATGTAATAATATATAATAATACTTGAGAAGTGTGTAAGTGGAAACTAGTTATGTTTAGATATCTCTAAATTACATGTGGCTGAGACATAGTGATCATATCATAAAAACTTTAGATGAAAGAACATTGAATCAGAATTAAAACAGTATTAGAATAATAGATTTACTGTTTCAGTGAATGCTCCTATACTTCAAATTATGAGTGACTTTAAGGGAATTATCCTCAGTTATGTGATGGGAATCTTATGCATAGCTTGCTGTAGACTAATGAATTGTAGAATTTTTGCAGAAAGCAAGGGGTTGGATTTAATACTTAAATGCCCCCTTTTTATGATTCAATTTTGTGTTTTTTATTCTGATAGGGTGAATAGGGATACTCCATAATATACCTTACTGATTTGATAAGGATTAAATTAGGATAGTTCAAGAGCTTCAAACACTGCAGATGCCTATGCATGTATAGATACAGATTTTTTAAAAAATAACATGTAAATGCAGATACAAAAATCAAACTTACTTCTAGAAAGTTGCATTCAAATTTCTTTCCCCTTTTTGATATTAAGCCTCTTGCAATTAACAAAGCAAAGATAATAGAAAAATGTGGGATGTCTTCTAGAAATTCGACCAAGTTTATTGTTTATAATCCAAACAAGGATAGCAATCTAATTTCTTGAATGCTTAATTGCAATGCCAGTTTCTTATGTTTGTCCAAGATTTTCTTCCCCCTTTTCTTACTTACTCAGACACAAATGTTCTGCTAGATGGATTTTCTTCTTTAGCTTCAATTTAGCTTCAATGCATTTCCTGGCCAACAGATACTCTCTGGATAAGCTTCCAAAAGACCTAGTTAAGAGCCTTTTTTCATTTGCTTCTCCCTCAGAACTGTAGAACATGGCTGAAAAGCAACCCATAAGTCATGAGCAGGAAGAACCAGAAGACCTCACTAGGCTGCTAATGCTAGTCCTTAAGAAATGTGCTCTATTCTCACCTATCTAATATGTCTCTGGTGGGAAGCAATTGCATTTACGCTGTTTTTTTACAGAGTCCAGAATAATTTAAAGTTACCTGAGTCCTTAAAGTAGAACTTTTTCTTTCATTCATTGGAAATAGAATCGAAATTAATAAAAGGCAATGCTAAATTACTAGTTTAGTGTTCACATTTTAGCATAAGTTACCCTTTGAAAGGTTGGATTGATTTTCAGCATTTAGAATATTTTGGTATGTTTTTAACTTAGATGTTGGCTTGTGATAAAGGAAGATGGACACATGGTGACTGCTCGACAAGAGCCTCGACTAGTATTGGTCTCTATCACCAATCAAAATGGCTATTTGACCCTGAGTGCTCCAGAAATGAAGGACTGTCGTATTCCAGTCAAATTGTCAACAAAAAATCCAATACGGGATTGCAGGTAGTTTTTCTTTTATGTTTTTTCAATTTCTCAAGCAACAGGGAAAAAGTGACTTATACCGGTAGTTAGAAAAAGCACAAAATTAAAAGTCTTCACAGTTCTGCATTTCTAAACCAGTCTAGTATCCCCATGATTGCTTCTAGAAAATGCTTAAAGAGAGGCTAGTTACACATATCTGGTACCTCAGTAGTTTGACCCTTACATTAGTCTTGGGCTAACTGACTTCAATAAACCAGTTTAGGATCTGTGTCCCTCATGGAGATGCTAACAACTACATTGATTCAAAAGTCAACATAAGCCAAGCTGGAGCCAAGCCACACTAAAAGCCTCCAATACAGGAAACACAATGTTGCCAGCCAATCAAGACAAAAAAAGCCACAAAACAGACAGAAGATATTAGAAACACCAGTCAAGCAGAACACAGCAAACTCCAAGACCAATAAACACAGACCAAGACTCCCAACCGATCAGGATGAAGAAAAAACCATTCTGGCACAGCAGTAGGCTAGCCCCAAATTTAAAACTGAAACAGCTGTGAAAGTCTGACTCACAGATGAACACAATACAGATGAGATTCTGCCGAAACGTTGCTACAACTTTAAAAGCACAATTATAATGACGTGGGAAAATACCCGAAAAATAAATAAATAAATATATATATGGATCTTTGGTTGTTCGGGTTTTCTCCCGCGTAAGATTCGAAGTATCTAGGCAAC